TGTCCCCCCCCCCCCATTTTCTGCTCTGCCAGGCTGCTGCTTGGATCAAGTGGGGGATTTTAGGGTTTCTTTTTGTTTTTTGGCATTGGGCTCCCCCTAAAATTCCTACCAAATGTAAAAGGTCTAGGATGAATTGGGGAGGGGACTTCACACTGTTTTTTTTTTAGCATCATAAATTCATTAAGAATGACATTTAGAAAGCATTTCAGATGTAAATTTTAATTATAAGAAAATAATGATACATTTGGATTCATTATTTGTTAATTCGGAAATGCATCCGAATTTCCGAATTTGGCCATACTCGATTTCAATTCAGAATGAAACGAATCACACATGTCTACTTGCACCACATTTCATATTCCTCTTGGCGAGATCCATTCAAAAAGCAAAGAAAGTAAGAACATGTAATAAAAAATAAACCAAATCAAAATCATATAGCTAGAAGCAGTTTAATGAATAAAGCATGCATAGCTAAATACTGAAAACTTAGGTAAAAAGAAGGCAAATACATTTTTGAATTCATAATTTGCGTTACATGATATAAACAAGAATAAATCCCTCTCTTTAACGTTTTCCCTCCTTCCCTCTTCTAAAATTCATTGCTGAACTGATGGTGATTGCAGGGAAAGCTTGTATAGAAGCAGCAGATGTTCCACTCTTGCAAAGATAAAATAATTTTGTTGTATTTAAGAGAATAAAAGGAGCACAATGGTGCAGAGAGAATCCTGTGCTTCCTTTCAGAATTCTTTCATGAAGTTAGTAATGTCTTTATGGTTAATACCTGTTTGCTTCCTGGCTACAAAAGACTGCTGGCTGCTCTACTGGGTGCTGATTCAGTGGGATTTTCTGATTGTACAAGCCACTGTAGCAGGGAGCCTGAATGACACTGAATGTAAGTTAATTACACATTATCAACATTAAAAGCTGAGTATAAGGTTTACAGTGAGTTCGAGTCAAAGCAGCATTTAAAGTGCCATTAAGCAAAAGGTGGCTGTGTATGCACATTGTACTGTATATAATGCAGTAGATACCATTGCTTTTGTGTTGCTGCAGAGTTGCTGCAGAGTCAATGTTGACCATACAACATTCTTGTCCTCCAGGCAAAAAAGTTAGCTTGCATGTGTGAACATAGGCAATTCATAGCATATACAGAAGCTCTAACTCATGGGATATACTGTATATAGATAGATCAGTTTTAAACTTCAGCTTGCTTAGTTTTTAGTACTTTGCTGTTTTTCACACAGTTCAGTAGAGATCAGAGGGGGGACAATAGATAGAAAACTAATACTGGCTGAGAGGTGGTAGAAGATAAGCATCTAAAAAATAATTGTGTACTGACTGAGGAATCCACTTACTCAATGATAGCAGAACCAGCTGTCTAGATAGTGCGTTATAGGACACATTAGCAATGTAGAGGTGGGCGAGAGGAACCACTGAGCACAGCGGGCAACCAGTAGATTGACACTTCTGGAAGTGTTTGTAAAGAGGCTTCAGACAACAATTTCTCTTCATTACAGCAGTGTTTGGTGGTGTGGCAGGAGAGCTAAGCATTTACTATTTTCTTTACAGAGAAGGCTTTTATTAAGGTGGGTTTAATTTTACTGACAGAGTCACCCTTGTGCCTAGGCTGCAATTTACTGTTAGTTGCTGCTTGACTGACCGCAAAGTAGAGGATATGTCTTGCTAATATGATCATTTATTATTATAAGTAGAGCTGGTAAACACACTTCCGTTAGCCCAGGCAGTCACTGCCCTCCACATGAAGCAGGGTAACATACTGTATAAAGCAAAGTGGACACAGTTATAAAATGGCTGCAGCTCTCCTCTGTTTAGACATCTGTAAATGTATGCTCAGAAAATTCAGCAGCAAATTATTTTTACTGAACAGAGGCTGAAATACATATTAAAGCTGCCTTTCTCAACATGTGACAAATTTAGCTTATTTGACACCCAGGGATGCAATCTACAACATAAATTATTTTCAGTAATAATCGTGAATTTAAACAAATAATAAGAATAGACAGAAAATAAACTTATACCATGAAAATTGTGCTGGTGGCCAGTGAAGAAGTGCACCCTTACATTGGGGTTCAGTAAAATCCACTGGTGATCAGTGTAGGGCTCCTTCACATTGGTAGTTAGTAAAGTGCTCTGTTATGTTGGTGGTTGGTGGCCTCATTACACTGGTGATCAGTGAAAATAACGCTGCTTACATTGGTGGTCATTGATAAGAATATGTTCCTTGCACTTAGCTGAGATGATCATTGATGTCAGTGGTAACATATCTGGGAGGTAGAAATTACTCACTGCTCAAGGAATCCCTAGCAAACCCTGAAGGATCCCTAGGGCTCAATGAGAATGGCTGCACGCAGAGGAATGTGCAGAAGCTGGTGTGATAGGCACAATGTGTACACCAGCTTCCATTTAACTACTGTAATTTTCATCAAAGTTCAAAAATTTGCAGCCATGCTTTTCTATTGAGAAAAGATTAGATTTTTCTTGATAAGCCAACCTATAATAGCTAGTACAATTGCCCTCAGTCCATTGTATTTCATTTGGGGACATCTGGCTCTTTGAGTTAAAGACTTTGAGCTTTGCTTTGTGCACTATTGATTTAAAAAGATTGTTAAGAGTTACTTCTGGATTTGATGGGCTTTTGCCCAGCTACACTTATACATTACAAGAAAGGAATAGAAGGAAGACATTTAGCAGAGGCACGGGTATTGACAGATATGCAATTCAGAGAGCTGCTTTCTTGTATTCTACTAGGTCAATGGGGCTGATGATACTTCGGCTGCTTCCATCACCAAGATATGACAGCTATGCCTGCTTTTTAATGTAGTATGAGTGAACCCGTACAGGAACAGTACCTAGATTCAACCTTTGCTGCTGCACAATGCTCATATAAAATGTCATGCCATTATTTCCACTGACTCCAGTACAGCTGGATAGGAGAAGAAATTATCACCTTTCTATAGAGTAGGAATGCCCCTTTTTCATCTCGGTTAAATAATGCTTATTTTTGTTAATAGAGGAACATTAAGTTTGAAGAAATGGTGAAAGTTTTGTGCAAAGATACTGCAGTGGATATTGTATTCCGGTACAATAAAAAAAACAATAACAAGCTATGTTTTGCCCCACACATAAATATAAATGTTTTCAGAAGTCTTGCACATGTAAAATATCCTACAAAATGGAATTTAATACACGTTCTGGTCTGTTATAATACAGTCATATCACAAAAGCAGTGCTTCCCAAACCACTCCTCAGGAGACCAGTCAAGTGCCATATTTTTGCACCATTGTAGGTAAAATAATAGTATGGTTTGTACTTGTAAGCACATAAAGCAGCCATGAAATAGCTTGGACATCTGAAAAATGTGGCTTGTTGCTGGTAGATGAGGACTGGAGTTGGGAAACACTACACTAAGCTCCAGTGTGGCCACACCACACTGAGTCATACTAAGCAAGCACATCTATATGCTTTGACAGAAATTTAATTTCCAGAGTATGACAATATATTTGTATATTTTTCTTCTACTCATTTTTATAAATAGACATTTTTTTTCATACTAGGCCCCTTAAAATGACTTTTAATTAACTTCCAATAACTGGTTTTATTTTGTATAGGCCTTTGTAACATTTCTACGTGTTATCAGAAACTTGCAACAATATAAAAAAAAAATAGGAGACTCACTTTACAAAGGATTTTATTAATATTTTCTTGGTAATTCACAAGTTATTCTCATATTGCAACAACAAATTATTTCCTTGAATGTCTTTCGCATTTCCTGACTGCGGAAGGCATATATCAGAGGATCAATGACAGAGTTGCACATGATCAAAATGAGATACATATTAAAATGGGACATGAAACAGACACAGTAAAGGTTCTGTGGACAAGAAATCATCAAAATCAGATGGAGAAAGAATGGAGCCCAGCATACAATAAAAATTCCTATCAATATGGTTAGAGTGATGGCTCCTTTCATACTTGTCCTCTGGTGGACTGAATTATAGCCTGGCAAAGCAGCTATCCTTTTGACATGTGTACGTGCCAGCAAGAACATATGAATATATAATGATACCATGAGGAAAAGCATGATGAAAAACATAGTAATGAGACATATTATTACATATGTAGATTCATAGTAAAGAATAAATATAATCCCACACCCAGTGCAGAATGTCCATATACAAGCAATAATGGCTCCAGCTCTCTTTACAGTCATGATGTTGTGGTACCGTAGAGCATAGAAAATGGTGATATAGCGGTCTATAGCTATGGCAAGTAAACTGCACATAGAAGCCACCACTGATATGCAGATCATGGAATCAAAAACATTATCAATATGACGTACAAAGGCATCTTCCATAACTAGATGTTTATTATTTATAAGGTTTATTGTGATTGTTTCCCATGCATTAGACACACTAACCAACATATCTGCTACTGCTAAGCTACATACAAAGAAATACATAGGGGAATGCAAATTCTTGTTTTTGATAATGGCAGAAATCACAAGGATGTTTTCAAGGAGGCTTAGAATACCAAGCGTCAAAAACACTTCCGCAGCTATTACCACTTGATCACATGAAGACAACTTAGTCTTGCTTGTTGGCACTGTGTTATTTCCATCTATGTTGCTTATATTAAGTTCCAGTATATGTTGCTGCAGGGACATGTTCATCATTGAAAGGATATAAATGTTCTTTCTTCAGACCGCTAATTTACAATTTTGTGCTTTGATCCCATTATCAGAAGCATTGGGGTGTACTGTCAAAAAAGAACAAAAACAGATATGAATACAATTCACTGATGGTATCACAAAAAAATCTGCATGTAACATTATGATTTTGTAAAGCTTTTTATTTTTAATAGTGATCAGAGTTTGCATTTCATAACAAAGATTTGATTTACCTTTCAACATGTGGGATGTTAAGAATCACATAGCTTATGAGCCTGAGCGTACCTGGCCATACACAAATGTATCTGATAATTCAGTAATTACCAGCCATTATACACATTGCATGCTTGGTGATCTCCCCATAACTACCTGTGATGTAGGGGGAGCATTGGGTCACATCTATTCACCCCTGTCTTCAAAGCATAAAATAATACAGCATTTCTAGTGGTGGCCTCCCAAAGTCTTCAATATTACTGCTCTTAACCAATACATGGAAATAATATTGTCAACTGGTGCAAAAAGGATCAAATTATACATCATTTCTGGTCAATGTATGACTGCCTAATGTTGTCATATGTCAACATGCCCAGTGTCACTGTTACTCAAACCAGGTCTCAGGCGCCACTGCTAGGTCATGTTTTGCAGATCTCTTCACACAGTCACAGATTAAATGATGTGTAAAACACACCCATTAAAACATATGTGAGGGAGCTATTTTACCTCCCAAAGGATTTTTTTTTTCGGTCTATCCAATCCTGAAATTTACACAAATACATCACACAGCACAGCCAGGTAGATGACATCACCTACAGTTCAGTAATTAAATGGTGTTATCTTTGCACCCTAGGCGTGCTGACTGGGCTGTGAAAGAACAGCAGCAGACTAATGAGGTCAACCCTCTGCTATCTCCTATCAGCATGTCCCTATCAGCACACTTTTATTGACTGACTCCCAGTCCTGCCTGTTCCGCTTCCAGTCTACATGCTGCTGTATAAGAGATTTATTGCAAAAGGCTTGTTCTGAGTCACTTTTAGGTGCTTTTACAAAAATATGTAATGATTGATTAATGACTACAGAGCTGCATTAATCTATGTCTTTTATATCTGTAATTATGTGATAAGTGAAATAAAAATGTCAAAATGTGTGACATCAAAACTTACTTTATTCACTGATTTTTCTGTAAAGCATAATTTATAATTAATTCATTGATACCAGAAACCTTAAATTATATGCTTTTCACAAAACCAGACCCCAGACTTAAAACAGAATGCCAGCCTGTGCAAACAGACCAATCCTTTTACAATTGTTTTACAGGTTACTCTATGTTATGCATGTAACTAAGTCCCACTATAACCTATTCATAAATGTACAGGCAGTCCCCGGGTTATGAACAAGATAGGATCTGTAGGTTTGTTCTTAAGTTGAATTTGTATTTAAGTTGGAACAGGTATATTTTTTCGATGTGTAATTCCAGCCAAAAAATGTTGGGGGGTTTTGGATAGCAAAGGGAAGGGTTAACCCCCTGTAAAGTTTGTTTTGATGTTTGTGCCCCTGTTCAGAAGATTTCGCCTCACTTTCTGTCCCTGCGACAATTGGATTTTGGAAATTTTGGGTTGTCGTGGAAAGAAGTATTGGTGATAAAGCTTCAGTGGAGACACCTTTTTCCCATGATAACTCTTGCAGGAGTGAATTTCCCTTCCTAGTGTTAGATTTCCTCTCACTTCCAGTTGTCTCAAGGACAGGATGTGAGAGTAAATTGTAAAGCGCTGCGGAAACTGTTAGCGCTATATAAATACTATGTAATAATAATAATAATAATAAATCTTTCTAATGAGGATACAGACAGCAGAAAAAACCTCACAGTGACCTGGAAGAAGAGGTGGGCACCCCTTATCTGCACGTCTAATAAGAGCCAACTTCCTTTAGTAGTACGAATCAGACCCAAAAAGGCGGGGACTCCTCGTCGGTACGAGTGTGGTAGCATTATAACTACCCCTGCTGTACAGTAATAGCCTCCATTTGTAAGTAGGAGTCAAATGTAAGTCGGATGTATGTAGCTCGGGGACTGCCTGTAATGTACATCGTACCACTGCACGCCTGTGTATAAGCATGCATGACCAGATACTGTAAGATGTTTGAGACTCTAAAACATTGCTGGTGCATTGGTGTCATTTATGAAAAGAGATGCGTAATTGTGTACATAATGTCTTTATTTATCATAGATAACACCGTGGTATTGCCTCACAATGCCACAATATATATTATAGTGTGTGTATGTATACATGTGTGTATGTATATATTGGATTGTGTACCAGGTAAATAAAAAATATTTCAAATAAAGTATATCCAAAAGGAAAACTTTTCCAGTTTTAGATAGTGTAGGGAATGGTTTACACCCCTGCCAGATTTAGGTTTTTTTTTTTTTGTTCTTTGTTTTTCTTTTGCTCTCTGTGTTCCATTGGGAGATTTTCTTTCACTTCTTGTCATGAATACATAACAGGGAGTTAGATTAAACTTCTACAAAGTTAGCTGTAACTAGGGAAGGTATCCTCACTGGAAGGTTTCTAGGCTCTCACTTGGCTGTAAAGCCTTTTTTTTTCATACAAAGAAGTGAATGACTCATCAGCAGTGACTCATTCCTCATCAGACAACTCAGTCTGAGGTTTAGCCAGGCAAAGTATGGCAAACAGCAGGCTGTTACTGCTGTGATACTTTCTTAGCTGACCAACTTTATATTGATTGTAAAATAAAGATATCAAATAACAGACTTCATTTTTTATGTACTATGTCTACTAAAGACATTTAAAGAAATGTAAGAAGACCTATAGCTGTTAGGTGACTTGTAGACTATCAGACGTGTAATAAGCAACCCAGACAATTTTTTTCTGTTGTTTTGAAGTGGAGGTTTTGTTGGAGAGGATTGCTTTGAAGTATATTGAAATCCAAAACCATATACATTACAGATTACCAGCCCTTGGATGGCAGTGGCAGAATTAGTTTTCTTTATTTTAGGTTAATACCATTTTCAGCATATACAGAAAATACACATTAATCTTCACAAAAACAAAATTGAAAAAGACAAATGATAAAACCAAAAATTTTCCTACATACAAAGTGCTATTTTTTTCTGTGATGTTATAACTACAACATTATACTACTGGTACAAAGTAACATGGTTATTTACAGAATAATTTAATGCATTTTAAAGAATTGCATGGTAAGCTAAATGGGCCATTGTTGCAACAGCCCAACTTGAATTGCTGGAAGTAGATATAACTGAAGAGGAACTTAGTAAAGCATTAGTGTGTTTAGCAGTAAGTAAAGCTCCAGGGCCAGATCGCCTGAGTACAACTTATTATAAGACGCTTAAGGATATTTTACTTCCCTATTTAACTTCTTATATTAATTACGCATCTACAACTGGAGATTTTCAACCTGAAACCTACTGTGCTTATATTACAGTAATACTTAAATCAGGGAAGAATCTATCATGATGCTCTAGCTATTGGCCAATATCATTGTTAAACGTGGACATTAAATCTCCTGATCAAAGTGGATTCATTCCAGGTCTGGAGGTAAAAGATAAATACCTGGAGATTCTGTCCCTGTTGGCTTCTGTGCGATAGTGTTCCCAGCCCACCCATTTTCTTTCTACAGACGCTGAGAAGGTGTTTGATTGGTTGGACTGGAAATACCTTATGCTCACGTTACAACACTTTGGCCTAAGACCACAAATGCATCAGAGTATTGCTGCTATATATGCGGCTCCAACTGCTCTGGTTAGGATGAATGGGGTCCTGAATTATCTATTTCGCCAATGTAATGGCACTCGGCAGGGGTGCCCCCTTTCATCGCTGCTGTTTGCCATTTTATTAAAACCTTTTTTTGGCCTGGATCTGTAGAGATCCTAATATCCATGGCATTATAGCGAAAGGACATGTTTATAAATTAGCAGCGTATGCTGACGATATATTTTTTGTTAGAGGTGCACCAAAATGGATTTTTCAGACCGAAACCGAAAATAAAAAATTTGTCAGGCCGAAACCAAAAGTTTGAAAAAAAAAATGTTCTAAACTTTTTTTAAATTATTTTTTTATATTTTATTTTTGTTTATATAATATCTCGGAGGCTCTGGGGAAATATCAGGGATCTAAACAGGCCCCTGATATTTCTCTTTTGAAATAGAAAATAGAGATTGAGGACACAGCCTTAAATCTCTTTTTCTGCAGCCCCTGTTATGAAGGAACAGGAAGCCTCTATACTGAGTGCTCCTGTCTAATGATGGGCCGAACACCCCCCTGTTCAGTTCGAATTCAAACTTAGGAACATGAAAAAATTTGGAATTCGAACTTGAACTCAATGCATGTCTGTGGGGCTAGAAAATCAATTGAACGCTTATATGCAATGTATTGGCCATAAAAAGGGTATGGGGATCCGGGTTTTTAAAGAAGCAGTGATTTTAAATCGCTTGAAGTGAAACAATAATAATGAAAAATTCCTTTAAATATCATGCCTAGGGGGTCCCCTTAAACTGCCTGTAAAGTGGCACATCTGTACAATGTATAGAACCTGCTGCAGCAAAAATTACATTTGTAAAGAAAAAATTACATTTAAAAAGAAAAAAGGGGGCGTGGCTACCAAGGGATGTGAGCAGACGTGTCCTCCCTGAGCTCCATCCATCGCCGCTGAATTTCAGAGATTAGCAGCCCTTAACCAGCTTAAATATGAAGGACAAAAAATATAAGAAGTCTGCCAAGACACCTTCTACCTCCGCCAAAGGGTCCCAGTCAGCCTCTTCCATCAGGGGCTTCTTTGGTCAGTCGGACCACTTGAGGGGTGAACCGCGAGGCAAGATGGCGCCGGGCACGAACAAAATCCACAGGCCCACGCTGGCATACTCACAGCCCTCGCCGGACCCGAGACCCGAGGACTCTCAATCGAGCCCCCCGTCATCGGGCTCAACAGACGCGGTCCCGGTGCCGACAGAGGATGTCCCACAGACGCCGCCCGCGATGACACGGGGATCCGAATCACGGCTGACATGGGAGACGGGTGAGTGGCCTACACACGGGGACGCAGCGGGGGAAGG